GACGTGGACCTGGACGTGGACGTGGACGTGGACAGTGGACTGGACGTGGACATGGACGTGGACGTGGACGTGGACGTGGACGTGGGGACTTGAACGTGGACGTGGACATGGACGTGGACGTGGACGTGGAGCGTGGTACGTGGACGTGGACGTGGACGTGGACGTGGACATGGTCCGTGGACGTGGACGTGGACGTGGTCGTGGACGTGGACGTGGACGTTGACGACTTGGACATGGACGTGGACGACTTGGACATGGACGTGGAAGTGGACGTGGACGTGGACGTGGACGTGGACATGGACGTGGACGTGGACGTGGACGTGGACGTGGTCGTGGACGTGGACGTGGAGGTGGACTTGGACGTGGACGTGGACGTCGACGTGGACATAGACGTGGACTTGATCGTGGACGTGGACGTGGACGTGGACTTGGACGTGGACGTGGACGTGGATGTGGACGTGGACGTGGACATGGACGTGGACGTGGACGTGGACGTGAACGTGGACGTGGACGAGGACATGGACGTGAACTAGGACGTGGACGTGGACGTGGACGGTGAACGTGGACGTGGACGAGGACATGGACGTGGACGTGGACGTGGACGTGGACGTGGACGGTGAACGTGGACGTGGACGAGGACATGGACGTGGACGTGGACGTGGACATGGACGTGGACATGGACGTGGACGTGGACGTGGACGTGAACATGGACGTGGACGTGGACATGGACGTGGACATGGACGTGGACGTCGACGTGGACGTGGACGTGGAGGTGGACTTGGACGTGGACGTAGACGTGGACGTGGACGTGGTCGTGGACGTGGACGTGGACGTGGACGTGGACGTGGACTTGGACGTGGACGTGGACGTGGTCGTGGACGTGGACGTGGACGTGGTCGTGGACTTGGACGTGGACGTGGACGTGGAGGTGGACTTGGACGTGGACGTGGACGTGGACGTGGACGTGGACGTGGACTTGGACGTGGACGTGGACGTGGACGTGGACGTGGACTTGGACGTGGACGTGGACGTGGACGTGGACGTGGTCGTGGACGTGGACGTGGACGTGGACGTGGACGTGGACGTGGACGTGGACGTAGACGTGGACGTGGACCTGGACGTGGACCTGGACCTGGACGTGGACGTGGACGTGGACGTGGACCTTGTCGTGGACGTTGACGTGGACCTTGTCGTGGACGTGGACGTGGACGTGGACGTGGACATGGTCGTGGACGTGGACGTGGACGTGGACGTGGACGTGGACGTGGACATGGACTTGGACGTGGACGTGGACGTGGACGTGGACGAGGACATGGTCGTGGACGTAGACGTGGACGTGGACGTGGACATGGACTTGGACGTGGACGTGGGCGTGGACGTGACGTGGACGTGGACATGGACGTGGACGTGGACGTGGACGTGGACGTGGACGTGGACGTGGACGTGGACGTGGTCGTGGACGTGGACGTGGACGTGGACGTGGAGGTGGACTTGGACGTGGACGTGGACGTAGACGTGGACGTAGACGTGGACGTGGACCTGATCGTGGACGTGGACGTAGACGTGGACGTGAACTTGGACGTGGACATGGACGTGGACGTGGACGTGGACATGGACGTGGACTAGGACGTGGACGTGGACGTGGACGTGGACGTGGACTAGGACATGGACGTGGACGTGGACGTGGACGTGAACATGGACGTGGACATGGACGTGGACGTGGACGTGGACGTGAACATGGACGTGGACATGGACGTGGACGTGGACGTGGACGTGGACGTGGACGTGGACATGGACGTGGACATGGACGTGGACGTGGACGTGGACGTGGACGTGGACGTGGTCGTGGACATGGTGGTGGACGTGGACATTGACGTGGACGTGGACATGGACGTGGACGTGGACATTGACGTGGTCGTGGTCGTGGACGTGGACGTGGACGTGGACGTGGTCGTCCACGACGTGGACTTGGACGTGGACGTGGACGTGGACGTGGACGTGGACCTTGTCATGGACGTGGACGTGGACGTGGACGTGGACGTGGACATGGTCGTGGACGTGGACGTGGACGTGGACGTGGACGTGGACGTGGACGTGGACATGGACTTGGACGTGGACGTGGACGTGGACGTGGACGTGGACATGGTCGTGGACGTGGACGTGGACGTGGACGTGGACGTGGACATGGACTTGGACGTGGACGTGGGCGTGGACGTGGACGTGGACGTGGACATGGACGTGGACGTGGACGTGGACGTGGACGTGGACGTGGACGTGGACGTGGTCGTGGACGTGGACGTGGACGTGGACGTGGAGGTGGACTTGGACGTGGACGTGGACGTAGACGTGGACATAGACGTGGACGTGGACCTGATCGTGGACGTGGACGTGGACGTGGACGTGAACTTGGACGTGGACGTGGACGTGGACGTGGACATGGACGTGGACTAGGACGTGGATGTGGACGTGGACGTGGACGTGGACGTGGACTAGGACATGGACGTGGACGTGGACGTGGACGTGGACATGGACGTGGACATGGACGTGGACGTGGACGTGGACGTGAACATGGACGTGGACATGGACGTGGACATGGACGTGGACATGGACGTGGACATGGACGTGGACGTGGACGTGGACGTGGTCATGGACATGGTCGTGGACGTGGACCTTGACGTGGACATGGACGTGGACGTGGACATTGACGTGGTCGTGGTCGTGGACGTGGACGTGGACGAGGACGTGGTCGTCCACGACGTGGACTTGGACGTGGACGTGGACGTGGACGTGGACGTGGACGTGGTCGTGGTCGTGGACGTGGACGTGGTCGTCCACGACGTGGACTTGGACGTGGACGTGTACATGGACGTGGACGTGGATGTGGTCGTGGACGTGGACGTGGACATGGACGTGGACGTGGTCGTGGACGTGGACGTGGACGTGGAGGAAGTGGACGTGGACGTGGAATATGTGGACGTGGACGTGGATGACGTGGACGTGGACGTGGAGGACGTGGACGTTGACATTGACGTGGACGTGGACGTGGTCGTAGACGTGGACGTTGACGACTTGGACATGGACGTGGACGTGGACGTGGACGTGGACGTAGATGTGGACGTGGTCATGAACGTGGACGTGGACGTGAACGTGGACGTGGACGTGGACGTGGACGTGGACATGGTCGTGGACGTGGACGTGGACGTGGACGTGGAAATGGACGTGGACGTGGACGTGGTCATGGACGTGGACGTGGACGTGGACGTGGACCTGGACGTGGACCTGGACGTGGACGTGGACGTGGACGTGGACCTGGACGTGGACATGGACGTGGACGTGGACGTGGACGTGGACTTGAACGTGGACATGGACGTGGACGTGGACATGGGCGTGGACGTGGACGTGGACATGGACGTGGACGTGGACCTGGACGTGGACGTGGACGTGGACGTGGTCCTTGACGTGGTCGTGGACGTGGTCGTGGACGTGGATGTGGACGTGGACGTGGACCTGGACGTGGACGTGGACGTAGACGTGGACGTGGTCCTGGATGTGGTCGTGGACGTGGTCGTGGACGTGGACGTGGACGTGGACGTGGTCATGGACGTGGACGTGGACGTGGACGTGGACGTGGACGTGGACGTGGTCGTGGTCGTGGACGTGGTCGTGGACGTGGACGTCGACGTGGACGTGGTCGTCCACGACGTGGACTTGGACGTGGACGTGGACGAGTACATGGACGTGGACGTGGACGTGGTCGTGGACGTCGACGTGGACATGGACGTGGTCGTGGTCGTGGACGTGGACGTGGTCGTGGACGTGGACGTGGACGTGGAGGACGTGGACGTGGACGTGGAGGACGTGGACGTGGACGTGGAGGACGTGGACGTGGACGTGGAGGACGTGGACGTGGACATTGAAGTAGACGTGGACGTGGACGTGGACGTGGACGTGGACGTGGACGTGGACATGGTCGTGAACGTGGACGTGGACGTGGACATGGACGTGGACGTGGACGTGGACATGGACGTGGACGTGGACGTGGACGTGGACATGGACGTGGACGTGGACGTGGACATGGTCGTGGACGTGGACGTGGACGTGGACATGGTCGTGGACGTGGACGTGGACATGGACGTGGACGTGGACGTGGACGTGGACGTGGACATGGACGTGGACGTGGACGTGGACGTGGACGTGGCAAGGACGTGGACGTGGACGTGACGTGGACGTGGACGTGGACGTGGACGTGAACGTGGACGTGGACGTGGACGTGGACGTGGTCGTGGACGTAGACGTTGACGTGGACGTGGACGTGGACGTGGTCGTGGACGTGGAGGACTCGGAGGAGGACGTGGACGTGGACGTGGACGTTGACGTGGACGTGGACGTGGACGTGGACGTGGACATGGCGTGGACGTGGTCGTGGACGTGGACGTGGACGTGGACGTGGACGTGGTCGTGGACGTGGACGTGGACGTGGACCTGGACCTGGACGTGGACGTGGACGTGGTCGTGTACGTGGACGTGGTCGTGGACGTGGACGTGGACGTGGTCGTGGACGTCGACGTGGACGTGGACGTGGACGTGGACGTGGACGTGGTCGTGGACGTGGACGTGGACGTGGACGTGGACATGGACGTGGACGTGGACGTGGACGTGGACGTGGTCCTCGACGTGGACGTGGACGTGGACGTGGACGTGGACGTGGTCCTAGACGTGGACGTGGACGTGGTCGTGGACGTGGACGTGGACGTGGACGTGGACGTGGACGTGGTCGTGGACGTGGACGTGGACGTGGACGTGGACGTGGACATGGACGTGGACGTGGACGTGGACGTGGACGTGGACGTGGACGTGGACGTGGACGTGGTCGTGGAGTGGACGTGGACGTGGTCGTGGACGTGGACGTGGTCGTGGACGTGGACGTGGTCGTGGACGTGGACGTGGACGTGGACGTGGACGTGGACGTGGACGTGGACCTGGACGTGGACGTGGACGTGGACGTGGACGTGGACGTGGACGTGGACGTGGACGTGGACGTGGACGTGGACGTGGACCTAGTCGTGGACGTGGACGTGGACGTGGACGTGGACGTGGACGTGGACTTGGACGTGCACGTGGACGTGGTCGTGGAGGTGGACGTGGACGTGGACGTGGTCGTGGACGTGGACGTGGTCGTGGACGTGGACGTGGACGTGGACGTGGACGTGGACGTGGACGTGGACGTGGACGTGGTCGTGGACGTGGAGGTGGACGTGGACGTGGACGTGGACGTGGACGTGGACGTGGACGTGGACGTGGACGTGGACATGGACGTGGACATGGACGTGGACTTGGACGTGGACTTGGACGTGGTCGTGGACGTGGACGTGGACGTGGACGTGGACGTGGACGTGGTCGTGGACGTGGACATGGTCGTGGACGTGGACGTGGACGTGGACGTGGACGTGGACGTGGTCGTGGACGTGGACGTGGTCGTGGACGTGGTCGTGGACGTGGACGTGGACATGGTCGTGGACGTGGACGTGGACGTGGACGTGGACGTGGACGTGGACGTGGACGTGGACGTGGACGTGCACGTGGACGTGCACGTGCACCTGGAAGTGGACGTGGACGTGGACGTGGACGTGGACGTGGTCGTCGACGTGGACGTGGACGTGGACGTGGACGTGGTCGTGGACGTGGACGTGGACGTGGTCGTGGACGTGGACGTGGACGTGGACGTGGACGTGGACGTCGACCTGGTCGTGGACGTGGACGTGGACGTGGACGTGGACGTGGACTTGGACGTGCCCGTGGACGTGGACGTCAACGTGGACGTGGACTTGGACGTGCCCGTGGACATGGACGTGGACGTGGACGTGGACGTGGTCGTGGACGTGGTCGTGGTCGTGGACGTGGACGTGGACGTGGACATGGACATGGTCGTGGACGTGGACGTGGACGTGGACGAGGACGTGGACGTGGACGTGGACCTGGACGTGGACGTGCACGTGGACGTGGACGTCGTGGACGTGGACGTGGACGTGGACATGGACGTGGACTTGGACGTGGACGTGGACCTGGACGTGGACGTGGACGTGGACGTGGACGTGGACAAGGACGTGGACGTGGACCTGGTCGTGGACGTGGACGTGGACGTGGACGTGGTCGTGAACATGGTCTTGGACGTTGACGTGGACGTGGACGTGGTCGTGGACGTGGTCTTGGACGTGGTCGTGGACGTGGACGTGGACGTGGACGTGGACATGGACGTGGACGTGGACGTGGTCGTGGACGTGGACGTAGACGTGGACGTGGACGTGGACGTGGACGTGGACGTGGACGTGGACGTGGACGTGGACGTGGACGTGGACGTGGACGTGAACGTGGACATGGTCGTGGACGTGGACGTGGTCGTGGACGTGGACGTGGACGTGGACGTGGACATGGACGTGGACGTGAACGTGGACGTGGTGGTGAACGTGGACGTGGACATGGACGTGGACTTGGACGTGGTCGTGGACGTGGACATGGTCGTGGACGTGGACGTGGACATGGTCGTGGACGTGGACGTGGACGTGGACGTGGTCGTGGACGTGGACGTGGACGTGGACGTGGACGTGGACGTGGACGTGGACATGGTCGTGGACGTGGACGTGGACGTGCACGTGGACGTGGACGTGGACGTGGACGTGGACTTCGACGTGCACGTGGACGTGGTCGTGGACCTGGACATGGACGTGGACGTGGACGTGGACGTGGACGTGGTCGTCGACGTGGACGTGGACGTGGACGTGGTCGTGGACGTGGACGTGGACGTGGTCGTGGACGTGGACGTGGACGTGGACGTGGACGTGGACGTGGACGTGGACCTGGTCGTGGACGTGGACGTGGACATGGACGTGAACGTGGACTTGGAAGTGCCCGTGGACGTGGACGTCGACGTGGACGTGGACTTGGACATGCCCGTGGACGTGGACGTAAACGTGGACGTGGACGTGGACGTGGACGTGGACGTGGACATGGACGTGGACGTGGACGTGGACGTGGACGTGGACGTGGTCGTGGACGTGGACGTGGACATGGACGTGAACGTGGACGTGAACGTGGACATGGAGGTGAACGTGGACGTGGTCATGGACGTGGACGTGGACGTGGTCGTGGACGTGGTCGTGGACGTGGACGTGGACGTGGACGTGGACGTGGTCGTGGACGTGGTCGTGGACGTGGACGTGGACGAGGACGTGGACGTGGACGTGGACCTGGACGTGGACGTGGACGTGGACGTGGACGTGGACGTCGTGGACGTGGACGAGGACATGGACGTGGACTTGGACGTGGACGTGGACCTGGACGTGGATGTGGACGTGGACGTGGACGAGGACGTGGACGTGGACGTGGACCTGGTCGTGGACGTGGACGTGGACGTGAACGTGGACGTGGTCGTGAACATGGTCTTGGACGTTGACGTGGACGTGGACGTGGTCGTGGACGTGGTCTTGGACGTGGTCGTGGACATGGACGTGGACGTGGACGTGGACGTGGACGTGGACGTGGACGTGGACATGGACGTGGACGTGGACGTGGTCGTGGACGTGGACGTGGACGTGGGCGTGGACGTGGACGTGGACGTGGACATGGACGTGGACGTGGACGTGGACGTGGACGTGGACGTGGACGTGGACGTGGACGTGGTCGTGGACGTGGACGTGGACGTGGACGTGGACGTGAACGTGGACATGGTCGTGGACGTGGACGTGGACGTGGACGTGGTCGTGGACGTAGACGTGGACGTCGACGTGGACGTGGACATGGTCGTGGACGTGGACGTGGACATGGTCATGGACGTGGACGTCGAGGACTTGGACGTGGACGTGGACGTGGACGTGGACGTGGACATGGACGTGGACGTGAACTTGGACGTGGACGTGTACGTGGACGTGGACGTGGACGTGGACGTGGACGTGGACGTGGACGTGTACGTGGACGTGGACGTGGACATGGACGTGGACGTGGACGTGGACGTGGTCGTGGACGTGGTCGTGGACGTGGACGTGGACGTGGACTTGGACGTGGACATGGACGTGGACGTGGACATGGTCGTGGACGTGGTCGTGGACGTGGACGTGGACATAGACATGGACGTGGACGTGGACGTGGACGTGGTCGTGGACATGGACGTGGTCGTGGACGTGGACGTGGACGTGGACATGGACGTGGACGTGGACATGGTCGTGGACGAGGACGTGGACGTGGACGTGGACTTGGATGTGGACGTGGACGTGGACATGGACATGGACATGGTCGTGGACGTGGACGTGGACGTGGACATGGACGTGGACGTAGACGTGGACCTGGACGTGGACGTGGACTTGGACGTGGACGTGGACGTGGACGTAGACGTGGACGTGGACGTGGACGTGGACGTGGACGTGGACCTGGACGTGGACGTGGTCGTGGACCTAGACGTGGACGTGGTCGTGGACGTGGACGTGGACGTGGACGTGGTCGTGGACGGGGACGTGGACGTGGACATGGTTGTGGACGTGGACGTGGACGTGGACGTGGACCTGGACGTGGACGTGGACATGGTCGTGGACGTGGTCGTGGACGTGGACGTGGACGTGGACCTGGACGTGGACGTGGACATGGTCGTGGACGTGGACGTGGAGGACTTGGACGTGGTCGTGGACGTGGACGTGGACGTGGACGAGGCGTGGACGTGGACGTGGACATGGACGTGGTCGTGGACGTGGACGTGGACATGGTCGTGGACGTGGACGTGGACGTGGACGTGGACGTGGACGTGGACGTGGACGTGGACGTGGACGTGGACGTGGACGTGGACAGGGACGTGGACGTGGTCATGGTCGTGGACGTGGACGTCGACGTCGACGTGGTCATGGTCGTGGACGTGGACGTCGACGTCGACGTGGTCGTGGTCGTGGACGTGGACGTGGACGTGGTCATGGTCGTGGACGTGGACGTCGACGTGGACGTGGTCATGGTCGTGGACGTGGACGTCGACGTCGACGTGGTCATGGTCGTGGACGTGGACGTGGACGTGGTCGTGGACGTGGACGTGGACGTGGACGTGGACGTGCACGTGGACATGGACGTGGACTTGGACGTGGACGTGGACGTGCACGTGGACGTGGACGTGGACGTGGACGTGGACGTGCACGTGGACGTGGACGTGGACTTGGACGTGGACGTGCACGTGGACGTGGACGTGGACGTGCACGTACACGTGGACATGGACGTCGACGTGGACGTGGACGTGGTCATGGTCGTGGACGTGGACGTCGACGTCGACGTGGTCATGGTCGTGGACGTGGACGTCGACGTCGACGTGGTCATGGTCGTGGACAGGGACGTGGACGTGGTCATGGTCGTGGATGTGGACGTCGACGTCGACGTGGTCATGGTCGTGGACGTGGACGTGGACGTGGTCGTGGATGTGGACGTGGACGTGGACGTGGACGTGCACGTGGACGTGGACGTGGACTTGGACGTGGACGTGGACGTGCACGTGGACGTGGACGTGGACGTGGACGTGGACGTGCACGTGGACGTGGACGTGGACTTGGACGTGGACGTGCACGTGGACGTGGACGTGGACGTGCACGTACACGTGGACATGGACGTCGACGTGGACGTGGACTTGGACATGGTCGTGGACCTGGACGTGGACGTGGACGTGGACGTGGACGTGGACGTGGACGTGGACGTGGTCGTGGACGTGGACGTGGACGTGGTCGTGGACGTGGACATGGACGTGGTCGTGGACGTGGACGTGGACGTGGACGTGGAGGTGGACGTGGACGTGGACCTGGTCGTGGACGTGGACGTGGACGTGGACCTAGTCGTGGACGTGGACTTGGACGTGGACGTGGACGTGGACGTGGACTTGGACGTGCACGTGGACTTGGACGTGGACGTGGACGTGGACTCGGACATGGTCGTGCACGTGGTCGTGGACGTCGACGTGGACGTGGACTCGGACATGGTCGTGGACGTGGTCGTGGACGTGGACGTGGACGTAGTCGTGGACGTGGACGTGGACGAGGACGTGGACGTGGACGTGGACCTGGTCGTGGACGTGGACGTGGACGTGGACGTGGACGTGGTCGTGAACATGGTCTTGGACGTTGACGTGGACGTGGACGTGGTCGTGGACGTGGTCTTGGACGTGGTCGTGGACATGGACGTGGACGTGGACGTGGACGTGGACGTGGACGTGGACGTGGACATGGACGTGGACGTGGACGTGGTCGTGGACGTGGACGTGGACGTGGGCGTGGACGTGGACGTGGACGTGGACATGGACGTGGACGTGGACGTGGACGTGGACGTGGACGTGGACGTGGACGTGGACGTGGTCGTGGACGTGGACGTGGACGTGGACGTGGACGTGAACGTGGACATGGTCGTGGACGTGGACGTGGACGTGGACGTGGTCGTGGACGTAGACGTGGACGTCGACGTGGACGTGGACATGGTCGTGGACGTGGACGTGGACATGGTCATGGACGTGGACGTCGAGGACTTGGACGTGGACGTGGACGTGGACTTGGACGTGGACATGGACGTGGACGTGAACTTGGACGTGGACGTGTACGTGGACGTGGACGTGGACGTGGACGTGGACGTGGACGTGGACGTGTACGTGGACGTGGACGTGGACATGGACGTGGACGTGGACGTGGACGTGGTCGTGGACGTGGTCGTGGACGTGGACGTGGACGTGGACTTGGACGTGGACATGGACGTGGACGTGGACATGGTCGTGGACGTGGTCGTGGACGTGGACGTGGACATAGACATGGACGTGGACGTGGACGTGGACGTGGTCGTGGACATGGACGTGGTCGTGGACGTGGACGTGGACGTGGACATGGACGTGGACGTGGACATGGTCGTGGACGAGGACGTGGACGTGGACGTGGACTTGGACGTGGACGTGGACGTGGACATGGACATGGACATGGTCGTGGACGTGGACGTGGACGTGGACATGGACGTGGACGTAGACGTGGACCTGGACGTGGACGTGGACTTGGACGTGGACGTGGACGTGGACGTAGACGTGGACGTGGACGTGGACGTGGACGTGGACGTGGACGTGGACCTGGACGTGGACGTGGTCGTGGACCTAGACGTGGACGTGGTCGTGGACGTGGACGTGGACGTGGACGTGGTCGTGGACGGGGACGTGGACGTGGACATGGTTGTGGACGTGGACGTGGACGTGGACGTGGACCTGGACGTGGACGTGGACATGGTCGTGGACGTGGTCGTGGACGTGGACGTGGACGTGGACCTGGACGTGGACGTGGACATGGTCGTGGACGTGGACGTGGAGGACTTGGACGTGGTCGTGGACGTGGACGTGGACGTGGACGAGGCGTGGACGTGGACGTGGACATGGACGTGGTCGTGGACGTGGACGTGGACATGGTCGTGGACGTGGACGTGGACGTGGACGTGGACGTGGACGTGGACGTGGACGTGGACGTGGACGTGGACGTGGACGTGGACGTGGACAGGGACGTGGACGTGGTCATGGTCGTGGACGTGGACGTCGACGTCGACGTGGTCATGGTCGTGGACGTGGACGTCGACGTCGACGTGGTCGTGGTCGTGGACGTGGACGTGGACGTGGTCATGGTCGTGGACGTGGACGTCGACGTGGACGTGGTCATGGTCGTGGACGTGGACGTCGACGTCGACGTGGTCATGGTCGTGGACGTGGACGTGGACGTGGTCGTGGACGTGGACGTGGACGTGGACGTGGACGTGCACGTGGACGTGGACGTGGACTTGGACGTGGACGTGGACGTGCACGTGGACGTGGACGTGGACGTGGACGTGGACGTGCACGTGGACGTGGACGTGGACTTGGACGTGGACGTGCACGTGGACGTGGACGTGGACGTGCACGTACACGTGGACATGGACGTCGACGTGGACGTGGACGTGGTCATGGTCGTGGACGTGGACGTCGACGTCGACGTGGTCATGGTCGTGGACGTGGACGTCGACGTCGACGTGGTCATGGTCGTGGACAGGGACGTGGACGTGGTCATGGTCGTGGACGTGGACGTCGACGTCGACGTGGTCATGGTCGTGGACGTGGACGTGGACGTGGTCGTGGATGTGGACGTGGACGTGGACGTGGACGTGCACGTGGACGTGGACGTGGACTTGGACGTGGACGTGGACGTGCACGTGGACGTGGACGTGGACGTGGACGTGGACGTGCACGTGGACGTGGACGTGGACTTGGACGTGGACGTGCACGTGGACGTGGACGTGGACGTGCACGTACACGTGGACATGGACGTCGACGTGGACGTGGACTTGGACATGGTCGTGGACCTGGACGTGGACGTGGACGTGGACGTGGACGTGGACGTGGACGTGGACGTGGTCGTGGACGTGGACGTGGACGTGGTCGTGGACGTGGACATGGACGTGGTCGTGGACGTGGACGTGGACGTGGACGTGGAGGTGGACGTGGACGTGGACCTGGTCGTGGACGTGGACGTGGACGTGGACCTCGTCGTGGACGTGGACTTGGACGTGGACGTGGACGTGGACGTGGACTTGGACGTGCACGTGGACTTGGACGTGGACGTGGACGTGGACTCGGACATGGTCGTGCACGTGGTCGTGGACGTCGACGTGGACGTGGACTCGGACATGGTCGTGGACGTGGTCGTGGACGTGGACGTGGACGTAGTCGTGGACGTGGACGTGGACGTGGACGTGGACGTGGACGTGGACGTGGACGTGGACGTGGACATGGACGTGGACGTGGACGTGGACGTGGACTTGGACTTGGACATGGTCGTGGACATGGACGTGGACGTGGACGTGGACATGGACGTGGACGTGGACGTGGACGTGGACATGGACGTGGACGTGGACGTGGACATGGACGTGGACATGGACGTGGACGTGGTCGTGGACGTAGACGTGGACGTGGACGTGGACGTGGACCTGGTCGTGGACGTGGACGTGGACGTGGACATGGACGTGGACGTGGACGTGGACGTGGACGTGGACGTGGACGTGGACGTGGACATGGACGTGGACGTGGACGTGGACGTGGACTTGGACTTGGACATGGTCGTGGACGTGGACGTGGACGTGGACGTGGACGTGGACGTGGACGTGGTCGTGGACGTGGACGTGGACGTGGACGTGGTCGTGGACGTGGACGTGGACGTGGTCGTGGACGTGGACGTGGACGTGGAGCTGGTCGTGGACGTGGACTTGGACGTGGACGTGGACGTGGACTTGGACGTGCACGTGGACGTGGACGTGGACGTAGACGTGGACTTGGACATGGTCGTGGACGTGGTCGTGGACGTGGACGTGGACGTGGACGTGGACGTGGACGTGGACGTGGACGTGGACGTGGACGTGGACGTGGACGTGGACGTGGTCGTGGACGTGGACGAGGACGCGGACATGGTCGTGGACATGGTCGTGGACGTGGACGTGGACGTGGACTTGGACGTGGACGTGGACGTGGACGTGGACGTGGACGTGGACGTGTACATGGTCGTGGACGTGGACGTGGACGTGGACGTGGACGTGGACGTGGACGTGGACGTGGACGTGGACATGGACGTGGACGTGGACATGGTCGTGGACGTGGTCGTGGACGTGGTCGTGGACGTGGACATGGACATGGACATGGACTTGGACATGGACGTGGACGTGGACGTGGTCGTGGACATGGTCGTGGACGTGGACGTGGACGTGGACGTGGACGTGGACGTGGACATGGACTTTGACGTGGACGTGGACGTGGACGTGGACGTGGTCGTGGACCTGGTCGTGGACGTGGTCGTGGACGTGGACGTGGACGTGGACGTGGACGTGGACGTGGTCGTGGACGTGGACGTGGACGTGGACGTGGACGTGGACGGTGACGTGGTCGTGGACGTGGTCGTGGACGTGGTCTTAGACGTGGACGTGGACGTGGACGTGGACATGGTCGTGGACGTGGACGTGGACGTGGACATGGTCGTAGACGTGGACGTGGAGGACTTGGACGTGGTCGTGGACATGGACGTGGACGTGGACGTGGACGTGGTCGTGGACGTGGACGTGGACGTGGACGTGGACGTGGACGTGGACCTGGTCGTGGACGTGGACGTGGACGTGGACCTGGACGTGGACGTGGACTAGACGTGGACGTGGACCTGGACGTGGACGTGGACGTGGACGTGGTCTTAGACGTGGACGTGGACGTGGACGTGGACGTGGACATGGTCGTGGACGTGGACGTGGACGTGGACGTGGTCGTGGACGTGGACGTGGAGGACTTGGACGTGGTCGTGGACGTGGACGTGGACGTGGATGTGGACGTGGACATGGACGTGGTCGTGGACGTGGTCGTGGACGTGGACGTCGTGGACATGGACGTGGAGGACTTGGACATGGTCGTGGACGTGGACGTGGACGACTTGGACGTGGTCGTGGACGTGGACGTGGACGTGGTCGTGGACTTGGACGTGGACGTGGTCGTGGACGTGGACGTGGACGTGGACGTGGATGTGGACGTGGACATGGACCTGGACGTGGACGTTGAGGACGTGGATGTGGACGTGGACCTGGACGTGGACGTGGACATGGACGTGGACGTGTACGTGGACGTGGTTGTGGACGTGGACGTGGACGTGGACCTGGACGTGGACGTGGACATGGTCGTGGACGTGGACGTGGAGGACTTGGACGTGGTCGTGGATGTGGACGTGGACGTGGACGAGGACGTGGACGTGGACGTGGACATGGACGTGGTCGTGGACGTGGACGTAGACATGGTCGTGGACGTGGTCGTGGACGTGGACGTGGACGTGGTCGTGGACGTGGACGTGGACGTGGACGTGGACATGGACGTGGACGTGGACGTGGACGTGGACGTGGACGTGGACGTGGACGTGGACGTGGACGTGGACGTGGACGTGGTCGTGGACGTGGACGTGGACGTGGTCGTGGACGTGGACGTGGACGTGGACGTGGACGTGGTCGTGGACGTGGACGTGGACGTGGACGTGGTCGTGGACGTTGACGTTGACGTGCACGTGGACGTGGACGTGGACGTGGACGTGGACATGGACTTGGACGTGGACGTGCACGTGGACGTGGACGTGCACGTGCACGTGGACATGGACGTCGACGTGGACGTGGACTTGGACATGGTCGTGGACCTGGACGTCGACATGGACGTGGACGTGGACGTGGACGTGGACATGGTCGTGGACGTGGACGTGGACGTGGTCGTGGACGTGGACGTGGACGTGGTCGTGGACGTGGACGTGGACGTGGACGTGGACGTGGAGGTGGACGTGGACGTGGACCTGGTCGTGGACGTGGACGTGGACGTGGACCTGGACGTGGACGTGGTCGTGGACGTGGACGTGGCATGGACGTGGACGTGGACGTGGACGTGGACCTGGACGTGGACGTGGACATGGTCGTGGACAAGGATGTGGACGTGGACCTGGACGTGGACGTGGTCGTGGACGTGGACGTGGCATGGACGTGGACGTGGACGTGGACGTGGACATGGACGTGGACGTGGACGTGGACGTGGACGTGGACCTGGACGTGGACGTGGACATGGTCGTGGACAAGGACGTGGACATGGTCGTGGACGTGGACATGGTCGTGGACGTGGACGTAGACGTGGACGTGGACGTGGTCGTGGACGTGGACGTGGACGTGGTCGTGGACGTGGACCTGGACGTGGACGTTAACGTGGACGTGGACGTGGACGTGGACGTGGACGTGGACGTGGACATGGTCGTGGACGTTGACGTGGACGTGGACGTGGACGTGGACGTGGACTTGGACGTGGACGTGGACGTGGTCGTGGACGTGGACGTGGACGTGGACGTGGACGTGGACATGGTCGTGGACGTGCACGTGGACGTGGACGTGGACGTGCACGTGGACGTGGACGTGCACGTGGACGTGGACTTCGACGTGCACGTGGACGTGGTCGTGGACCTGGACGTGGACGTGGACGTGGACGTGGACGTGGTCGTGGACGTGGACGTGGACGTGGACGTGGTCGTGGACGTGGACGTGGACGTGGTCGTGGACGTGGACGTGGACGTGGACGTGGACGTGGACGTGTACGTGGACGTGGACCTGGTCGTGGACGTGGACGTGGTCGTGGAGGTGAACGTGGACGTGGACATGGACGTGGACGTGGTCGTGGACGTGGTCGTGGACGTGGACGTGGACGGGGACGTGCACGTGGTCGTGGACGTGGACGTGGACGTGGACGTGGACGTGGACGTGCACGTGGACGTGGACGTGCACGTGGACGTGGACGTGGTCGTGGACGTGGACGTGGACGTGGACGTGGACGTGGACGTGGACGTGGTCGTGGACGTGGACGTGGACGTGGACGTGGACGTGGACATGGACGTGGACGTGGTCGTGGACGTGGACGTGGACGTGGACGCGGACGTGGTCGTGGTCGTGGACGTGGTCGTGGACGTGGACGTGGACGTGGACGTGGTCGTGGACGTGGTCGTGGACGTGGACGTGGACGTGGACGTGGACGTGGACGTGCACGTGGACGTGCACGTGGACGTGGTCGTGGACGTGGACGTGGACGTGGACGTGGACATGGACGTGGACGTGGTCGTGGACGTGGACGTGGACGTGGACGTGGACGTGGAGGTGGACGTGGACGTGGAGGTGGACTGGTCGTGGATGTGGACGTGGACGTGGACGTGGACGTGGAGGACTTGGACGTGGTCGTGGAGGTGGACCTGGACGTGGACGTGGACCTGGTCGTGGACGTGGACGTGGAGGACTTGGACGTGGTCGTGGACGTGGACCTGGACGTGGACGTGGACATGGACGTGGACGTGGACGTGGACGTGGACGTGGACGTGGACGTGAACGTGGACGTGGACGTGGACGTGGACGTGGACCTGGTCGTGGACGTGGACGTGGACGTGGACGTGGACAGGGACGTGGACGTGGACATGGTCGTGGACGTGGACGTGGACGTGGACGTGGTCGTGGACGTGGACGTGGACGTGGACGTTGTCGTGGACGTGGACGTGGACGTGGTCGTGGACGTGGACGTGGACGTGGACGTGGACGTGGACGTGGACGTGGACGTGGACGTGCACGTGGACGTGGACGTGGACGTGGAGGTGGACGTGGTCGTGGACGTGGACGTGGTCGTGGACGTGGACGTGGACGTGGACGTGGTCGTGGTCGTGGACGTGGTCGTGGACGTGGACGTGGACGTGGACGTGGATGTGGACATGGACGTGGACGTGGTCGTGGACGTGGACGTGGACGTGGACGTGGAGGTGGACGTGGACGTGGAGGTGGACTGGTCGTGGATGTGGACGTGGACGTGGACGTGGACGTGGAGGACTTGGACGTGGTCGTGGAGGTGGACCTGGACGTGGACGTGGACCTGGTCGTGGACGTGGACGTGGAGGACTTGGACGTGGTCGTGGACGTGGACCTGGACGTGGACGTGGACATGGACGTGGACGTGGACGTGGACGTGGACGTGGACGTGGACGTGGACGTGGACGTGGATGTGGACGTGGACCTGGTCGTGGACGTGGACGTGGACGTGGACGTGGACAGGGACGTGGACGTGGACATGGTCGTGGACGTGGACGTGGACGTGGACATGGTCGTGGACGTGGACGTGGACGTGGACGTGGTCGTGGACGTGGACGTGGACGTGGTCGTGGACGTGGACGTGGACGTGGACGTGGACGTGGACGTGCACGTGGACGTGCACGTGGACGTGCACGTGGACGTGGACGTGGACGTGGACGTGGACTTGGACGTGCACGTGGACGTGGACGTGGACGTGGACGTGGACTTGGACGTGCACATGGACATAGATGTCGACATGGACGTGGACTTGGACATGGTCGTGGACCTGGACGTGGACTTGGACGTGGACGTGGACATGGTCGTAGACGTGGACGTGGACGTGGACGTGGTCCTGGACGTGGACGTGGTCGTGGACGTGGACGTGGACGTGGACGTGGTCGTGGACGTGGACGTGGAGGTGGTCGTGGACGTGGACGTGGACGTGGACGTGGACGTGGACGTGGACCTGGTCGTGGACGTGGACGTGGACGTGGACGTGGACGTGGACGTGGACTTGGACGTGCCCGTGGACGTGGACGTCGACGTGGACGTGGACTTGGACGTGCCCGTGGACGTGGACGTGGACGTGGACTTGGACGTGCCCGTGGACGTGGACGTGGACGTGGACGTGGACGTGGACGTGGAGGTGAACGTGGACGTGGACGTGGACGTGGACGTGGACGTGGAGGTGAACGTGGACGTGGACATGGACGTGGACGTGGACGTGGACGTGGTCGTGGACGTGGTCGTGGTCGTGGAGGTGAACGTGGACGTGGACGTGGACGTGGACGTGGTCGTGGACGTGGACGTGGACGGGGACATGGTCGTGGTCGTGGACATGGACGTGGACGTGGACGTGGACGTGGACGTGGACGTGGACGTGGTCGTGGACGTGGACGTGGACGTGGACGTGGACGTGGACGTGGACGTGGACGTGGACGTGGACGTGGACGTGGAGGTGGACGTGGACGTGGACGTGGACCTGGACGTGGACGTGGACCTGGTCGTGGACGTGGACGTGGACGTGGACGTGGACGTGGACGTGGACAGGGACGTGGACGTGGACGTGAACGTGGTCGTGGACGTGGACGTGAACGTGGACGTGGACGTGGTCGTGGACGTGGACGTGGACGTGGTCGTGGACGTGGACATGGACGTGGTCGTGGACGTGGACATGGACGTGGTCGTGGACGTGGACGTGAAGGTGGACGTGGACGTGGACGTGGACATGGACATGGTCGTGGACGTGGACGTGCACGTGGACGTGCACGTGGACGTGGACTTGGTCGTGGACGTGGTCGTGGTCGTAGACGTGGACGTGGACGTGGTCGTGGACGTGGACGTGGACGTGGACGTGGACGTGGACGTGGACGTAGACGTGGACGTGGACGTGGACGTCGACGTGGACTTGGACGTGCACGTGGACGTGGACGTGGACGTGGACGTGGACTTGGACATGGTCGTGGACGTGGACGTGGACGTGGACGTGGACGTGGACATGGACGTGGTCGTGGACGTGGACGTGGACGTGGACGTGGACGTGGACTTGGACGTGCACGTGGACGTGGACGTCGACGTGGACGTGGGCTTCGACATGGTCGTAGACGTAGTCGTGGACGTGGACGTGGACGTGGACGTGGACGTGGACGTGGTCGTGGACGTGGACGTGGACGTGGACATGGACGTGGACATGGACGTGGACGTGGACGTGGACGTGGTCGTGGACGTGGACGTGGACGTGGTCGTGGACGTGGACGTCGACGTGGACGTGGACATGGACGTGGACGTGAACGTGGACGTGGACGTGAACGTGGACGTGGAGATGGACGTGGACATGGACGTGGTCGTGGACGTGGTCGTGGACGTGGACATGGTCGTGGTCGTGGACGTGGACGTGGACGTGGACGTGGACGTGGACGTGGACGTGGACATGGACGTGGACGTGGACGTGGACATGGACGTGGACGTGGACGTGGACGTGGACGTGGTCGTGGACGTTGACGTGGACATGGACGTGGACGTGGACGTGGACGTGGACGTGGACGTGGACGTGGACATGGTCGTGGACGTGGACGTGGACGTGGACGTGGACGTGGACATGGACGTGGACGTGGACGTGGACGTGGACGTGGACGTGGACGTGGACGTGGACATGGACGTGCACGTGGAGCTTGCCTGGTCCAGGAGCTTGCCTGGTCCTGGAGCTTGCTTGGTCCAAGAGCTTGCCTAGTCCAGGAGCTTGCCTGGTCCAGGAGCATGCCAGGTCAACGAGCTTGCCTGGTCCAGGAGCTTGCCTGGTCCAGGAGCTTGCCTGGTCCAAGAGCTTGCTTGGTCCATAAGCTTGCCTAGGCGAGGAGCTTGCTTAGTCAAGAAGCGTTCCTGGTCCAAGAGCTTGCCTGGTCCAAGAGCGTGACTGGTCCAGGAGCTTACGTGTTCCATTAGCGTGTCTGGTCTATGAGCTTGCCTGGTCAAGGAGCTTTCCTGGTCCAAGAGCTTGCCTGGTCCAGGAGCTTGCCTGGTCCCGGAGCTTGCATGTTCCATGAGCTTGCGTTGTTAAAGAGCTTGCCTAGTCCAAGAGCTTGCCTGGTTTAGGAGCTTGCCTGGTCCAGGAGCGTGCCTGGTCCAAGAGCTTGCCTGGTCCAAGAGCGTGCCTGGTCCACGAGCGTGCCTGGTCTACGAGCGAGCCTGGTCCAGGAGCTTGCCTGGTCCAGGAGCGTGCCTGGTCCACGAGCGTGCCTGGTCCAGGAGCTTGCCTGGTCCAGGGGCTTGCCTGGTCCACGAGCGTGCCTGGTCCATGAGCTTGCTTGGTCCAGGAGCTTGCCTGGTCTAGTAGCTTGCCTTGTTCAGGAGCGTGCCTGGTCCAGGAGTGTGCCTTATCCAGGAGCTTGCTTGGTCCAGAAGCCCGCGTGGTCCAAGAGCTTGCCTGGTCTAGGAGCGTGCCTAGTCCAAGAGCTTGCTTGGTGTAGGAGCTTGCCTGGTCCATGAGCGTGTCTGGTCCAGGAGCTTGCTTGGTCTAGGAGCTTGCCTTGTCCAGGAGCTTGCCTGGTCCAGGAGCTTGCCTGGTCCACGAGCTTGCCTGGTCCAAGAGCTTGCATGGTCCAAGAGCTTGCGTGGTCCAGGAGCTTGCCTTGTCCAGGAGCTTGGCTGGTCTAGGAGCTATCCTAGTCCACGAGCTTGCCTGGTCAAGGAGCGTGCGTGGTCCACGAGTTTGCCTGGTCGAGAAGCGTGCCTGGTCTTAGAGCTTGCCTGGTCTAGGAGCTTGCATGGTCCAAGAGCGTGCCTAGTCCAAGAGCTTGCCTGGTCCAGGAGCTATCCTGGTCCAGGAGCTTGCCTGGTCCAGGAGCTTGCGTGGTCTACGAGCTTGCCTTGTCCAGGAGCTTTCTTTGTCCGTTAGCTTGCCTGATTCAGGAGCTTGCCTGGTCCAAGAGCTTGCCTAGTCCAAGATCTTGCCTGGTCTAGGAGCTTTCCTGGTCTAAGAGCTTGCCTGGTCTAGGGGCTTGCATGTTCGTGAAGCTTGCCTAATCCAAGAGCTTGCTTGGTCCAAGAGCATTCCTGGTCCATGAGCTTGCCTAGTCCAGGAGCGTGCCTAGTCCACGAGCGAGCCTGGTCCGGGAGCTTGCCTGGTAAAGGAGCGTGCCTCGTCCACGAGCTTGCTTGATCCAGGAGCTTGCTTGGTCCAGGAGCTTGCCTAGTCTAGGAGCTTGCCTTGTCTAGGAACGTGCCTGGTCCTTGAGTGTGCCTGGTCCATGAGCTTGTTTGGTCCAGAAGCCTGCCTGGTCCAAGAGCTTGCCTGGTCTAGGAGCGTGCCTAGTCCAAGAGCTTGCCTGGTCTAGGAGCTTGCCTGGTCTATGAGCGTGCCTGGTCCAGGAGCTTGCCTTGTCCAGGAGCTTGCCTGGTCCAGGAGCTTGCCTGGTCCAGGAGCTTGCCTGGTCCAGGAGCTTGCCTGGTCCAAGAGCTTGCGTGGTCCGGGAGCTTGCCTGGTCCAGGAGCTTGCCTGGTCTAGGAGCTTGCCTGGTCAAGGAGCTTGCCTGGTCCAGGAGGGTGCCTGTTCCACGACTTTGCCTGGTCCAGAAGCTTGCCTGGTCCAGGAGCTTGCCTGGTCTAGGAGCTTGCATGGTCCAAGAGCGTGCTTGGTCCAGGAGCTTGCCTGGTCCAGTAGCTATCCTGGTCCACGAGCTTGCCTGGTCCAGGAGCTTGCCTGTTCCAGAGCGTGCGTGGTCCAGGAGTTTGCCTTGTCCAAGAGCTTTCTTGGTCCGTTAGCTTGCCTGGTCCAGGAGCTTGCCTGGTCCAGGAGCTATCCTGGTCCACGAGCTTGCCTGGTCCAGGAGCTTGCCTGGTCCACGAGCTTGCCTGGTCCAGGAGCCTGCCTCGTCCAAGAGATTTCGTGGTCCTGGAGCGTGCAAGCTTCAGGACCAGGCAAGCTTGTGGACCAGGCAATCTCCTGGACCATGCAAGCTCCTGGACTAGGCAAGCTCCTGGACCAGGCAAGCTCCTGAACCAGGCAGGCTCGTGGACCAGGCACGCTCCTGGACCACGCAAGCTCTTGGACCAGGCACGCTCCTAGACCTGGCAAGCTCCTGGACCACGCAAGCTCCTGGACCAGGCAAGCTCCTTGACCAGGCTAGCTCCTAGACCAGGCGAGCTCCTGGACCATGCATGCTCTTGGACCATGCATGCTCGTGGACCATGCATGCTCTTGGACCATGCATGCTCCTGGACCATGCATGCTCGTGGACCATGCATGCTCTTGGACTAGGCAAGCTCTTGGACAAGGCAGGCTCGTGGACTAGGCAAGCTCCTCGACCAGGCAAGCTCCTCGACCAGGCAGGCTCCTGGAACAGGCTCGCTCGTGGACCAGGCACGCTCCTGGACTAGGCAAGCTCTTGGACGAGGCAAGCTCGTGGATCAGGCATGCTCCTGGACCAGGCAAGCTGTTGGACCAGGCAAGCTCCTAGACCACGCAAGCTCTTGGACCAGGCACGCTCATGGACCAGGCAAGCTCTTGAACCAGGCAAGCTTCAGGACCAAGCAAGCTCCTGGACCAGGCAAGCTTCTGGACCAGGCTAGCTCTTGGACCACGCACGCTCCTAGACCAGGCAAGCTCTTGGACCAGGCAAGCTCCTGGACTAGGCAAGCTCCTGGAACAAGCAAGCTCCTGGACCAGGCAAGCTCTTGGACCAGGAAAGCTCCTGGAGCAGGCAAGCTCCTGGGCCAGGCAAGCTAACGGATCAAGAAAGCTCCTGGAAAAGGCAAGCTCCTGGACTAGGCACGCTCTAGGAACAGGCAAGCTCCTTGACCAAGCAAGCTCCTGGACCAGGCAAGCTCCTAGACCAGAATAGCTCTTGGACTAGGCAAGCTCCTGGACCAGGCACGCTCTTGGACAATGCAAGCTCCTGGACCAGGCAAGCTTCTGGACCAGGCTAGCTCTTGGACCACGCACGCTCCTAGACCAGGCAAGCTCTTGGACCAGGCAAGCTCCTGGACTAGGCAAGCCCCTGGAACAAGCAAGCTCCTGGACCAGGCAAGCTCTTGGACCAGGAAAGCTCCTGGAGCAGGCAAGCTCCTGGGCCAGGCAAGCTAACGGATCAAGAAAGCTCCTGGAAAAGGCAAGCTCCTAGACTAGGCACGCTCTAGGAACAGGCAAGCTCCTTGACCAAGCAAGCTCCTGGACCAGGCAAGCTCCTAGACCAGAATAGCTCTTGGACTAGGCAAGCTCCTGGACCAGGCACGCTCCTGGACAATGCAAGCTCCTAGACCAGGCAAGCTCCAGGACCAGGCAAGCTCCTGGACCAGGCAAGCTCCTGGACTAGGCAAGCTCCTCAACCACGCAAGTTCGGGGACTAGGCACGCTCCGGGCCTAGGCAAGCTCTTAGGCCAGGCGGGCTTCTGGACCAAGCAAGCTCTTGGACGAGGCAAGCTCCTGGACCAGGCAAGCTCCTGGACCAGGCACGCTCGTGGACCAGGCACGTTCCTGGACCAGGCAAGCTCTTGGACCAGGCAATATCGTGGACCAAACACGCCCCTGGACCAGGCAAGCTCGTGGACCAAGCAAGCTCCTCGATCAGGCACGCTCGTGGACCAGGCACGCTCGTGGACCAGGCAAGCTCTTAGACCAGGCAGGCTTGTGGACCAGGCACACTCTTGGAATAGGCAAGCTCCTGGACCAGGCAAGCTCCTGGACCAGGCAAGCTCCTGGACCAGGCACCGTCGTGGACCAGGCACGATTCTGGACCAGGCAAGCTCCTTGACCAGGCAAGCTCCTGGACCACGCAAGTTCTTGCACTTGGCAAGCTCCTGGACCGGGCAAGCTCCTTGACCAGGTACGCTCCTGGACCAGGCAAGCTCCTGGAGCATGCAAGCTTCTGGACCAGGCAAGCTCGTGGACCAGGCAATCTCCTGGACTATGCAAGCTCGTGGACTAGGCAAGCTCCTGGACCAGGCAAGCTCCTGAACCAGGCAGGCTGGTGGACCAAGCACGCTCCTGGACAGGGCAAGATCCTGGACCTGGCAAGCTCCTGGACCATGCAAGCTCTTGGACCAGAAAGGCTCCTTGACCAGACACGCTCCTAGACCTGGCAAGCTCCTGGACCACGCAAGCTCCTGGACCAGAAAAGCTCCTTGACCAGGCTCGCTCCTAGACCAGGCGAGCTCCTGGACCAGGCACGCTCGTGGACCATGCATGCTCTTGGACTAGGCAAGCTCTTGGACAAGGCAGGCTCGTGGACTAGGCAAGCTCCTGGACCAGGCAAGCTCCTGGACCAGGCAAGCTCCTCGACCAGGCAAGCTCCTGGACCAGGCTCGCTCGTGGACCAGGCACGCTCTTGGACCAGGCAAGCTCTTGGACTAGGAAAGCTCGTGGATCAGGCACGCTTCTGGACCAGGCAAGCTGTTGGACCAGGCAAGCTCCTAGACCACGCAAGTTCTTGGACCAGGCACGCTCCTGGACCAGGCAAGCTCTTGAACCAGGCAGGCTTCAGGACCAAGCAAGCTCCTGGACCAGGCAAGCTCGTGGACCAGGCAAGCTTCTGGACCAGGCTAGCTCTTGGATCACGCACGCTCGTAGACCAGGCAAACTCTTAATCCAGGCAAGCTCCTGGACCAGGCAAGCTCCTGGAACAAGCAAGCTCCTGGACCAGGCAAGCTCCTGGACCAGGCAAGCTCTGGGACCAGGAAAGCTCCTGGACCAGGCAAGCTCCTGGACCAGGCAAGCTAACAGATCAAGAAAGCTCC